TTCTCATGCTGTGAGCTCTAGCTTACCACATCTGTGTAATGGGAAACCATTAAAGGAAGTAGTCATGTAAATAACTGGTGATGGGCTGCTGCTTAACGTCTATACTATTACTGTAAGGAGCCCAAAAGTGTGACCTGCTTTAATTAACTCACATTCTTTCATGCAGACATTAACCAATCAGAGGTCGAGGACATTTTCCAGCTGGCTTCTGATTGGATGAAATCTGTAGGAAAGAATGTGAATAAAACAAAAGCGGTGACACTTCTGGGCTCCTTCCTGTACATGTAAGCATAATTCCTGGTTAAACTGGCACCAAGCAACAACTAGCTAAACAATAATATTCAGTTGCAGACAGTGAAAGTATTCGAGTCACAGCAGCTCTTAGTAATTACTTTTAAAGGTATGTGCCGGGATGGACGGGCCAAGTCTTTCAGTGAATTTCCTTGTAAATAACACCTTATTCTATACCTTTTTAATCGACTGCTATGAAAAGAATTAAGAAACGTCCTTGAAGGCGCTCATCTGAGACGCTCGTTCACGAATGGTCATTCACGCGTCTGTTTTAGTTGTATTGGTTACTGTAAAAGTTGCCTGTATATGGCTTTCTGGAAAAATGCTGAACTGTGTTTATTGCCTCCAGCCAGCATTCGTTTGGACTTCCACTAAGAATGTATGGAATGCACGGAACGCAGTTTGATCACGCGCGTTTGGAGCTTCTATCGCTCGTACTGATGACGCGTGTTTTGACTTTCCCACACGCGAAGCTTACGCAAACCACACTAGAGCACAGTGATGGAGCAAAAGCGTTTTGACCTTCAATCGTTGTCGCCCGCACTACGTAACCTTTGGTTATTACTTTCATTACTAGTTTCAAAGGAAGGTAAAAAACTGCCATTTAACACTATTGTTGTGTAGATACTGTATATTTCTATCGTGGTGATTTGTGTTTTATTTGTACATAAGATAATTTACATCTGACCTGATTTGCCAAAACATGGCTATAGAGTCTCTCTCATGTACTTTCTGACCCAGTCTTGTAGTGGAGCATGTTTTTTTGTGTCTGTTTTGTTTTGTTTTTGTTTTTAGATATATTTTTTTTCACTTACTTTTTATTTACCTAATTTGCACCGAATATTTACTTAACAGGCTGGCTATTAACCTAACCCCCCCCCCAAAAGAAAGTTTCTCATAACTTCCCATAATTCTCTCTGTATGTTAGTTTGAAATCAGCGCGCGGATTAGACTGAACTCAGCTCTCGTAGTGGGTTGTCTTAGAGTTTTTTTGGCTGCCATGAGCAAAGTTTTCCGGAAGGCATCATTAAGCCTTGTGAAGGAACAATTCTCACGACTGGCAAAGTCTGCTGCGTCCAATATCTTCTCGTATTTCGTCTCGTTTCGGGCTACACGGGTGAAAGACTGATCCCGGGCTTGAGACGGAAAGATTGGATATTGCGAGCTTTGTTGTTGGCAGTAACAAGTCTTTGGCCTTACAAAGTAAGTTCTAGGGATGAAATCTATTCGACGAGATCAAAATTGACGCTGGTTTCTGACTAGGCCAAAGACTTAGTAAAAAATTGTTTGGAAGGCGGGGGCTGAGGACTCCCTTTCAATCGCTTGTGTACATCCGGGATCTTCAATAAATCGACTGTTCATGAGTCGTGGAAAGTTCCGTGTGACGATTTATGCG